CCGGGACTCCAGGATCATGACCTGAGCCGAAGGCAGTCGCTTAACCAACTGAGCCACCCAGGCGCCCTGTTTCTCACCCTTTCACCTCTATGCCTGCATCACCCTGATGAGAGGTCCTTCTGTGTTGCAGGATGTGTCAGGAAACGCTGCATTTCTGGCCTTCACTCCTTTCGGGTTCGTTGTTCTGCAAGGAAACAAGAGGGTCCACTTCATTAAATGGTGAGTATCTTCATTTCCAAAACAGGCCTTTTATACCTCACCAGCTGGGGAGGGCTATGGTTCCCATGTCCTTTGTCTGTGATTGGGCAGTTATGGTTCTCAGCCCCCTCAAAGCCTTGCATCCATAATGATACCTGAACAAGGTAGTGGTCTCTTCCTAGGGATCCTGTTCTTCCAAAGGGGTGTTCCTGAGAGCCAACAGCCCCTCCAGAGAGAGAAAGAGTGTAGAGGGTTGATTTCCAGGTACGATGAGAGACCCGGGGCTGGAGCCAATGTTAGGGAGGCAAAGTTCCTATGAGAACTGAGTCCTTGGGACTGTCCCCCACTGAAGACCACAGCATCTGCATGGCTGTTTACTCCCTTAACCACTGGCCTAAGGGAGGAGGGGCTCACCCTTGGGGCAGATGTAAGTTATCTTGCAAAATCCCCTCCTTAGGCCAGATGCAAGTTACCCTTGGCAAAACCCCCTCCTCAGGCCAACCCCCACTGTGGGCACTGCCTGCACAAGCACAGATGCTTCCCAGTCTCTCTCCTATCCCTCTTTAGGGCTCAGGTGTCTTCAGCCTACAGGAGTCACATCCCCACCTATCTTCCCCTCTCCCTCCTCCCACTCCCATTTCTAGCAGGCAAGAGCTACTGCCTCAGCTGAAGCTACTCTGAACTACTTCCTCTTTCCCCTGTCAGTTTTAGGTCTGTTCTGGATGGTTCTGGGAGCTAATGCAGCATAGACTGCCTTATTGATGGACATTTGGCTCTCCTGGAGCCCCTTTTTCTGGCCTGCAAACATCTTTCAGCCTCATCAGAGCATGTTGTATATTCTACTAAGCCCCTGTGATTTCTGTACCTTTTTGGCCTTCAACTGCCAAGTCTAAGCTGGCCAACTCCTCCCCTGAGCTTGGACAAAATGGCTTACCTTGCCCAGCAGAGCTCAGCTGGGGAAGCTTGCTCCTGTCTTGGTTCCTTTGCCTTCTCCAGAAGAGCTGATGGGGAATCTGAGGACAAAGCTGTTTCCTGGAGAGCTTTCTGCTGGGGGTGCTGCAGGGCATCTCTCTTCTTGTGTCCTCTTCAGCTCCCCCACTGAGCTTGTGGATAGACACCACCTTTCCAACCCTACTGCTCTTGTGCAGACTGTCAATATGATCATCAACCAGAGCGCTAATGGAAGTGCCCCCGAGACACGACCAGTCAGGACCCATCCCCCAGGAAAACAGCCACTTCACAAGGCAGGTTGCTGCACTGAGTAACCAGGGCATACCCCAAAAGGGCTCGTTGCTAGGCCTTCTGAAGTTGGCCCACTCACTGTGCTCTTTGGGTGACAATGGTGAGGGTTTGGGGTCTCCTGTCTAACAAAATACTTTTCAGAAAAAGGCAATGAGTAGGGTCAGGCCACTGCTCTCCCAGTGAGGAGCACTTGCTTCCTGAATATAGCTGGGTTGTCTGATAGTGCTTAGAGGGCCCAGATCCTGGCCCACACTCTGACCAGGGTAGCTGTCTCATGAGGTTCCTGGTAGAGGGCATCCGTAGCTAGAAACAATTAGGACACACCTGTTACAGGGCCCTGCAGTCCAAAGTATCCTTCCCCATCCAGAAGCCCTGAGGCTCACCTGATTCTCCCCAAAACTTTTCATTCTGTGTCTTACCTCACATCCCACTTCTTCAGGAAGTCTCCTTTTCACTGTGTCTCAATTTTAAAATAACAGATGTAAACCTAACCTCACTTTCAATAGAATGCTCCTTACTTTCTTATCTTGCTTGTTGAAGCCTAGATGATCAGTGTATTTGTTTACATATTAATTTTTATTGTATTCTGAATGTGTATGAGAGAGACTGATTGAATGGGAGGGACTCAAACAAGGAATACCATGTGCTTGTATTAGCTCAGAACTGGTGGTCAGAAATTGTGAGCTCTCATCCTGACCCAGCCATGATTTCTAGGAAGCAAGTGACCTTCCTCTGTCCCCTAAATTTTGGCCAGTAGTAGATTAGGTACATGGTTCTCACTACCTTTCTGCTACTTCCTAAGATATTGAGAAAATCTCCCTAGAGACTGCAAAGAGGAAGAAAGCCAAATTGAGGCAAATAGGCATGGTCCGACCTCCTTGGGGGTCCCAGTTGGGTACCAAAATAAGGAGTCCACCCCCCAGTGAGATGGAAGGGAAGGGCCTTCAGGACCCAAAGGGCAGCTGTGTCAGGCAAATGGAAGAGAAGTGAGGAGTGACCGATGCTGAGGCCTAGTTCTCTGGCTCTCAGGGACATCCACCCAAGACCCTGGTCATTTTTCCATTTTGTGAATGTAACCAAGGCTGAGAGCAGTATGTGAAGGTGAGGTCTAAGCTGTGCCATGTACAGTAACCATGTCACTTCTTCTGATTTGTGTCTGTCCCGCGGGTGACGTACCCCAGTATCCTGTTTGCCTCTTTTACTGCAGCCATTCACTGGGCTGGTGGCTTCAAGGATTTTTCTACAAAAACCCCTAAGCCCCTTTCCTGGTCAGTACGCTGCATGACTGTTCCATGTAATCTGTTCTCTCTCTTTGGTATGTTGCCCCACCCCCTCCCTGAGATTGTTTGACATTTGTTTGCATTAAACTGCATTTTCCATCCAGTGGCACAGTCACCTGAAAGACTCAACTCCCTCAGAACCTGGTTGCATTGTTTTTCATTATTTGCTGTATCTTGAACTTTGGCCTCATCAGCTACCTGTGGCATCTTATATTTGACAGTCCCATCCAGATAATGCACCTGCATTATGAACCAAATCCTGAAATGGCCCGGGACCTCTCAACCTAGACTCACTTCCCATGCAAAGGTTTCCCTTTTACAGCCACTGTTGATGAGCCCGAATACCTCCTATCACCCTATTATTATAGTGTGATTGATCAGAAAACTGTGGATTGAACTGTTTCAGCAACTGTTCTCTAAGGCCACTGCGCTGCTGTCTTGTTTCAGTTCTAATTTTGGCTAAAACTGTGTCTGTGCCTGGAGCCCCTTCCAGTCAGGGTGGGCTGTGCATCTACAAGACTTAGCTGTGAACAAGCAGCCGACAACAAGGTGACAGGTGCTTTCTTTGTGCTTGTAGGAATGAGGTGACCAAGCTGAAATTTGAAGGAAAGACTTTCTATTTATACGTAAGTCAGAAAGAGGTGAGTGCTGGCTTCTTTCTCTTCAGGGAGGGCTGGGACACTGAGTGGTTCCTGATGGCCAGGACTGAACCAAAGTGGTGTATCCAGGTAGAACTAAGCCATGTGAATGATAAGCCAAGACCTGAAGGTGAGGGATGGAGAAATGGCTAGGCCCTGGAACCCAGGACCTTCCTCAGGGATGCTGGTGACACCCAGAGGTTCCATACCTCCAGGAAATGCAGACAATGCAAGATTCTTTTGCTTCTATATGAAAATTCCAAGAAGATAATAAACTTTTAAAAAGAAGTAAAAAAATCCCAAATGACACCAACACTTTCTCTGGTGAGGGCTGTCTTGCTTCAGTTTGTACGAGCTGAGGCTTACTGTACTGGGCCTGCCAGGTGTGAACTTACTAAACTGAGCTCTGCCCCAGTGGGTCCTGCAGGCCTTCTCTTCCAACTAGCTAGCTGCCAGGCAGCTCCTTCCCCCACCTGAAATCTCTTCCTGCAGTCCTAGGGAGCCCTCAGGCAGTCCTGGGGAGCCCTCAGACAGTCCAGGGGTCAGTGTCCTGTGGCCATTTCACCCTTCGCTTCTCCATCCACACTCAGCTGTTTCTATGTGGGATTTTTTGTAGGAAAAGAAAATTATTCTCACATATTTTGCTCCAACTCCAGAAGCCTGCAAGCACCTCTGGAAATGTGGAATCGAGAACCAAGCCTTCTACAAGTGAGTGGACATACACAACAGGGACTATCTTTATCAGAGTTGAGCATAAAAGCTACTTTTTGAGTAATGGGCAGGAAACTTTGAGGAACACTGAGAAAGAAGACATAAGATGACAAGGCTGAGCTTCCTTATAAAACTCAGACCCCTTTCTAGATGTCTGTCCTCCCTGGAGGGACAGAACTGAGGTCTAGGAATATGTTTCCAGCAGAGATGTCCAGGGGGTCTAACTTGTGATGTCCTTGGACAGCTCCCAGTGGCAAAGCAGTTAGGGGTCTTTTCAGGGCAAGGCTTGGGCCTAAAAAAGCCCCTGGGTACCTGACTTGAATCAAGCTGGCCCTGTGGAGCCATTCAGAGCCACAGGAAGCCCAGAATAGGACAGACAGCTCCATGAAGGAGGAGAGGCAGACCAGAAAGATCTCTAAGCCTTGGAGAGCCTTTGGGGCTTACTCCCCAGTGGGTGGCCTGGTGCTGAGCTGGGGTTGATGCTAGCCCTTCCTGATGGGTCACTGCCAGAGGTATTGCCAGTAACAGACCCAAGTGCCCAGGAGCCTGAGTGGGGTAGCAGGAAGGGGAGCAAGGACTTGTCTGTTACTGAAAAGCCAGCTTTGGGCCAAAGGCAAGAATTTTGATTACCACAGGATTTGTAAAGTATATGAGGCTTCTGTGCTGTTTTGATTAAGAAAGTGGTTATAAAGGCATTAGGGTACAAAGAAATAGCCCATCGAGAAACTAGGATGACGCCAGATAAAGTATGTTTTACTAAAACCCTTGGTCTTGTTTTAAAAATAGAATGCAATGATTTATACTTTAATAAGCTGTATCTTAATCAGGACAACATAAGACAAAGTCTGTGGTATATTCTGCCTCTGACAAGCCATAGTTCTCCCTCCAGTAACCTCAAGGATCCTGAAGAGAGCAGACCTGCTCTGAGCTGGAGGGGTACCATTCTCCTTCTGCTGCCTGCTGGCTGCTATGGGATGCTGGCTGGCAGAATTGGTCCTCCCCCTTCTAGGGCCACAGCCCCAGAGGCTGTTTCTGGGAAAGGCTTTCTGAATTGCTTAATAATTTCTATGCATTTGATACCACAATCAGGGATGAGCTGAATGGGCAGCCTGAATTATAACCTGAGTGGGCTTCTTTCATCTCCTGAAGAAGACACTCAGAAAAGACTTTTGCATGGTCAAATTTCCCTCCTGTTCAGTCTCTAGCTGTCCAAGGAAAGCCAAGAAAACATACCCGCACCATTTCCAAAGACCTTTGTTTTTCTATTTGTGTCATGGGAACAGAACTGTGCTTCTGCATCTGTGACCAAACTCAGTGTCTGAGTCTTTCCATGAATAAAGCACCCCCACGCCGCAACTAGTCCTGCCAACACCCTCAGTGGAAACTGAGGCTGTTTTTCACTTTTCCACAGATTACTTAATGTTCTTTATTAAGTGTTAAAAGCCTCTAACTGGGTCAGATCCCCAACTGTGCCAAGTCTTAGCAGCAGCCACTTTGGCATCACCCTTAGCACCTTTCACGTGCAGATCCCTGGCCCTGCCGTTGGCCTAGTACTTTGAAGGGAGGCAGGTCAGACTCGAGGACATGCTGGGCAAGAAGACAAGGAGACTCAGAGCCTCACAGAACCCTGAAACAGGTGGGGATGGTATCTCCCTGGAACTGCTATTCATGGATTTGGGAGACAGCTCCCTAAATACTGACTGCCGGCTCACGACAGAGGCTTCAGACCCAGCACTCCAGGCACCTCAGGGCATGTTGTAAACTGAGTCGGGTCTTGGGAGGCTTCACTCTGGACGGTTCTCCCCAGCTTCCTTTTCTAAGCGTGAGAGGGCCATTTGGGATCAGAGAAGTCACCTAAGAGGATATTTTACAGTGCCCATGGCCTTCCAGAGCCTCCACATCAGCTGTCTACAGCCTTGAAAGTGATGCTAATAGGCTCACTGAGAGAAGGGGAATGATTCGAAGTTCGAATAAATGATGGAACTTATATTAAAGTTAAGCTAGTTTGTTCATTTCAGGACTTCTCAGAGTCTTTAACAGAACATACTTTATGACTCTCCAAGAGGGGGATGAAATAGGAAGGGCAGCCCGTACTCTCTTCTCCACCCACAATTACCCAGACATGGACATGTATCATCAAATACTAGGACTGGAAGGGACTCCTGAGATCAAGTAGCTCCATCATTTTATAGATAAGAAGACCAAAGCTAAGAAAGGAAAGAAATTTGCCCCAGGTCACACTGCTAACAAATGGCCTGAAATTTGATGAGTGGCATTCTATTATTCCCCCAGACCACCATCTGTAACATTTAGTCTCAGTCCCCCTGGTAAACCCCATGAAGCACTCTTGGGGAACCCTCACTCTCCTGACATGAAAATGGGTTTCAACATGACTGTCCCCAGCACTAAGGCTGTGAGGAAGCTCTCAGGTCCTAAAGGACAGTCTGAGACAAGCCAGGCTGTGAAAGGCCTTTTCCTGAAGAGTTTCCTCAAGTAGCCTTTGGAAGGAGCTGGGAATGCGCTGCCTTAGCCCGTGAGGCAGTTGCAGGCCATCTGTCACACTGGACTTTGCCTTGCTGCAGGCTGGAGAAGTCAAGCCAAGTCCGCACAGTGTCCAGCAGCAATTTATTCTTTAAAGGGAGCCGGTTCCGATACAGGTAAATAGTGACAGTAAGTAACTGTTATGGACCTATTTTCAGACCCTTCTCTGGAGAACAGGGGCTCAGTGCTCCTTATCCTTGAGAACAAAGAAACTGGGAACCTCCAAAAAAGCCTGAGGTTTCCATCCAGTTCTCCTGTCTCCTGTCCTTTTGACTATTTCTTTCCTTCCCTGCCAGTTTGTCTGCAGGGTTTAAATATGTATCTTCTCCTTCTGCCCTCACAACAGCAGTGAAATAAGAACTGTAGCAGTGATTCTTTTCATGTCTGTCTAAAGATTTCTTTTTTTTTTTTTTTTGCAATATTTCTGGAACATCCTGGACAATGAGAAATCATTTCTAAATGAAAATGGAAAATCCCAAAGACTCGAGATAGAGAGCTCTCTAAGATAAGCTGTCAGGACATCTTAAAACTTACCCAGCAAGCAAGCCTTTCTCAGTGACCTAAACATTGGGAAGGGCTAGGCCAAAGAGGCCACCTCCCAGTTCATCCAAAGTATCTGAAGCCTTAGACAGGAGCCCAGTGCTAGAACACTGTCTCATCCCTTGCTGCTTGTTTTATTATACTATTTATAGTGGCCGAGTTGCAAAGGAAGTAATGGAGTCAAGTGCGAAGATCAAACGGGAGCCACCAGAAATACACAGGTAGGCTGCCACAGACTTCCCCCAAACCAGTTGAGCTCAGATCCCAGAACCTCCGAAAAGGCAGCAGTTTCAGTACTATGAAGATTCTGGATGCAGTGGCTCTCACAAAAGGGGAAGGAGAACATGGCAGGAAGGTGAAAAGATCCATCTCAGCTAAAGGCATGGAGAACAGTCTGACTCCGGTATCCCTGAGCCTTGAGGGAGCACGAGGGAGGGCGTAGTACCCAGTACCACATCCTGGGTACTTCTCTACTGTCCTCCCAAATCCTGAAAGTGGTCATAGGCCACAGAGGACTTGTCCAAAGTGCAAGATTTCCTTAGTTCTGGAATCAATCCATTACAGAAAGCCAGGGATAGCCCCACAGCCCTACTACACTAGGTCTCAAATAGTTTTGAGATCCTTGCTTCATGTATAACTGTACATCACGTATATCTCCTAAACCTAATAAGATCCAGAAAGAATATGATTGGCCAAGACAGCTAGGGTTCACCAACCAGCCTGATCTCTGGGAATGGGAGCATTACTACCACGTTCACATGGCACCCCCTGCCAACTGCAGTCTCTGTCAGAAGTCAGAGAGGCTGCCATATCAGTTTTCAGGCATATTTTCTATAGTACTGCTTATGCTGGGGCTCTGCATCCTGACAAACCCGCTCAGAGACCAGTGGTACCATTGCTGCACTAAAGCAAGGTTCAGGGAGGTCTAGGATATGAGGTGGTAGACGAGTCTAAAGCAGTGTCTCTGACTGGAATCCAGGGACTAAAGGCAAAAAAACAGGTATTAAAGACTTTTTTAAAATAAATATTAAATAAATAAATAAATAAATAGACTAAAGGCAAAAAAACAGGTATTAAAGACTTTTTTAAAATAAATATTAAATAAATAAATAAATAAATAAAACAACACAGCCAGGCAGTTCTAGCAGCTACTTCTCAACCCTGAGTCCTGACCACATCTGTCTATGCACTGAATTAACAAAGTTCTCTTTTTCTTTAACCTCAGAGCAGGGATGGTTCCCAGCCGCAGCTGTCCCTCCATAACCCATGGCCCAAGGCTGAGCAGTGTCCCCAGGACCCGCAGAAGAGCTGTTCACATCTCCATCATGGAAGGTGAGCATAAGCTCTGGAGAGGACCATGGGGTTCCTCTAAGTTTTGACTTGGACCACTTCCTCTCAGGGACCTTGAACAGAAGTTGCACTAGAGACAGGAGCACATTTCTCCAGTGGAAGAGAGAAGGTTCCATGCAGTGGTTGGGAACACCAGCTGGATGTCAGGTGAAGGATAAGCCCACCCAACCCTGCTGAGCTGTAGTCTAAGATGGGGTTTAAATCTGAGAGTGTTGGGGCAGACCTTTGGGAGACTGTGTTATTGCATCTAACAGGTTCCATGCAGTTCTGAAATTGCTTTCCATCAAGAGGCTTTTCACTTATTTTTCAGATCAGACTAGTCTCCACAGTTTAAATGATCAGGGTGGCTGAGGCAGTTAACCAAGAAATGAAAACTCTTAGTTCTGAAGCATCCTAATAGCCACTACCACTTTCTATTTCAGCGGGAGAGATCTGTCCTCTTGCTATCTGAATTCTTTAACATGACCTCGGGAATCTCATATGCCCCACCTCTCTCTATCCTACCCTCCCTTTGGAGGAGGTGGGTCCTGGGGCGGGGGGAGAGACAAAGTCTGTGAATCTTCACTGAACTAGATACTGCAGTAGCTGAGCCTGATACCTCTCCACTCTCTGGGTAGTTAATATCATTAGGAGACTCCTGGAATATTTCCCTCATGGTCACTGACTCAGCTGCCCCACAGGCTAGGTACAGGTATAAAGTTGAATGCTTTCATTCCCAAAGATGTTTTTGTAGGACCTCAGAAGATCTAAAGCTGCAACAAACAGCAGCGGGTTTGCTTCAAACCTGTCCTGGAAAGGGAAGACTCTTTGCTTTTTCTGTGGGAATGCTGATTAATGAAAATAAAGAACTACTTAGGTTAGGAAGGACATCACTCTGCGGCTCCCCTGTGAGGATCATGGGTTTGTGTTTAGGATTTTATGTGTCACTGACTTTGCATTATCTAAGTCTGGTATATAACTACCGTCTAGGGCTTGAGAACCCTGGCCGGGTAACCACATCAACTGCCTTAATTATTTGAGTATCTAGTTGTTCTATTTGTAAAATAGGGGTATCTTCCTTGCGTACCCCATGGGCTGTGAGGAACCTCATGTACATAGAAGTATTTTAAAGAGATTAAAGCATTTATTGGACAGGCAGCAAGCACAGTGCAAAGAGGCCTGCTCAGGAAGTCCAAGATGAGATTCAGATCAGAGCTCTGCCATGTACTTTCTCTAGGGCAGGTTGCTTCACCTCTCTGAGCCTGTGGCCCCCACCTAGAGTGGGTATGGGTGTGGGAGGGTGCCTTCTGAACTACATAGTATAATCGCTATGCAAAGTATGAAGTTACTGAGGTCTGTCATCAGACACAGGCTCCTGGTTTTTCCTCCAGTCTTAGGCTGAGCCGGAGAACTGAGCATAGCTCTCATTGTCCCTCTTCTTTTGGGGTGTTCATCTCAGGAAAACAGAATGAATTTCTTCTCTTTTGAGGAAACAACTTTCTCCTCTCCCTGTGGCCCTTCTTCCTATCCATCCTGAGATCGGAAGCCACCAAGTTCACCTCAAAGCTCCTGTAAAAAGTCAGGACAGCTGTCCTCCCAGAGAAAAAGGCCATCCTCTGGAGCTGAGCACTAATACAGGTCTAGGGAAGAGCCTCATGCATTTGTTCTCCAGCATATGGAAGAATGTCCAGTAAAACCCATGTTCCCAGAAAAGGGAAGACAGGCTGTCCATGTGGGGGTATAACTCATTTATAGTAGTTGCCAAGCAGGGTTAGCAGAACTACTGAGAAGTGGGAGACCGGTCCTGAGCTCTCCCAAGACAAGCTATGAGGCTGCCCCAGTTCCCAACCAGCTCTGGCTGTGCCCCCAGCATCCTCCCAGAAGCTGTCTTCTCCCATTGTAGCACCAGTAGGCTCCTCAGCATCCGAAATAGTCCTCTTTGCTTGTAAAAAGCCAGGGGAGGGTGCAGCAGGGGAAGGCCACCAAGGAAGCTAGTAAAGAAGAGACTTCTAGGGCCAGGGCACACCCTCACCATCTCAGCCCCCATGGAAGTTCACGCCTGGCAGACTATATAGCACAGCAGGCTCCCATGTGCTACTCAGCAAGCCAACCTGCTGCTCACACCCCATGCCTGACTGAGGCTGACTACACACAAGAACAGCCTTCATCCCCAGTCATGGCCCTCAGCCCAGGACCCATTAGATTCAGGAGGGCAAAAGTAGAAGCAGCTAAGAACTGTCCCAGCAGAAATGACACCAACAGGCTCACAGTGAGGAGAGGCAGATGGACATCTGGTTTGGACGTGGGGAGAAAAAAAAAAAAAAAGATTTTAGCATTTAAGTGGTTCTATCAGTGCAGGGATTATCAAGACTGGGGAGATAAAGAATGGATTATTTCCCAGAGAGTTGAGCTACACCATCTCTCAAGAGGGGTTTCACCTTTAAAGCGCCCAGCAAACACAGCTGACCCTCACTGTACACCTAACCAGACAGGGAAGGGCTGAGAGAAATGATAAGGGATCTCAGAAGAAGGGCACTAACCACCAAAACTCCCAGGAAATTATGGACATTTGAAAGCGGTTCATGCTCCATCAGAGACTCTTTCCTATTGTCCATATGGCACATAAATTAATGTCACAGAAACTATTTGCCTTTTCCAGGGGGAAAGCTTTGATTGCTCTCTAAAAACAATGGGAAAATTGCAAAAACAGTAACATAAGACTACAATTTGAATGAGACCATGTAATTCCAATGAGCTGGGACCATTAAAAAGATGATGGTACACTGGTTGGCCCTCCCCTCTGCTCTCAGGGATGCCAAGATACCACATGTTGTTAGCACAGGCTTAGCCAGAGAGGATGCTCAGGTATGTTGATTCCTTTTATCCATTGCACCCTGTGGGGCACAGCTCAGCAGCAAGGAGCCAAATAGCATACAGCCCAGTGGATGGGACACAGCCCATTTCCACCCCCGACCTGCCACCTCACACGTCAGAGCCACCCAACCCAAAGCCCAATGTCTTTGTAGCTTCACATCCTGCATTTTCTGGAACTATGGGATGCTCCCTACCCTGTGGGATTGTTCTCTGCCCTCTAGGTACTTCACTCTCTGAGAAGTCTGGGGCCCTTATATGGGGCTCCGGGAAACAGTCACATGCTAGGGAAGCATTACTTTTTATGGCTCTAAGTGCTTCTGACTGAATCCAGTCCCTGATAACGTAGGCCTCTTAGAGCTATTCCTTCCCTGAAGCTCAGCCTGTTCTGTCTCGCAGAGCTGACATTCTCTCTGCAGCACAGGAGGCACTGTGAACGAGCTGCCATGGCTTGAGGTCAGCAAAAATCCTTTGTCCCCAGTTGGTTTTCCGTCCTTTCCCTCTGTATCCCCCCTGCCTGGCTGGTTTCCATGAAGAGATCAGCTGGTTTCCACTGAAGAAGTGTCTGCCTGCCTGGGCCACCATGGGGAAGAGTCTGATTAAAATTCACACCAGAGTCCGAGTTCAGCTCCGGTTGACTAATCACTGCCTTCGGCCACTGAGTGTGCGCATCGTGAGGATGGGGCCCCGGCTCCAGGGTAGGCTCCTGACCATTCTGCCCCCCCGCCCACAGGAAGCCACCTCTGGGCAAGGCAATCAGCTGGAGCACATCCAAGGTAAAAAAGACTCCTCTGTTTTGCTGTGCCATTTGCCAGCTCCCACCCATGGTACCCACCCTGTCCATCCCAGAATAACGGGCTTGATGAAGGGGTGGTGGTTTCTAGTGAACCTGAAGTTCTATATAAGACTAGCCTGACATAGCAATAATAACCTTACAGGTGAGGTCTGTTGAGGGAACAGAAGACTAACACTGAGCAATTTTGTCTGTCAAGCAATCTACTAAAAATGCATACATATCCATTATTTTATTTACTGAGAGCACCAACAACTTATAATGTGGTTTCTGGTGTCTGTCTGATTTGTTCTCTCTGATGTAACAGACTTTGCCTCTCTCCTTCCCCAGCAAGCTTAGGGCTGAATTGTAGGCCAAGCTAAGTTTGCACTGAAGTGGCTTCTGGTAGCTAAGCTGGTCGTGCTTTGGAAGATCTGGTAGAGTTGTCTCTGAGGAGACAGCCTTTAGAAAGGGTATGAGGAGCCCTGTACAGGGGGTGCTGAGGTTCCAGAGGAAGGGGGGTGGAGGAGTGGGTGGGAAAGGAGCTGAACCAACAGATGTGTGATCAGGGCCTAAAGGTCTCTCTTCTATCAGGGACTCATTACATACTACCAGGTATATATTCCTCATGCTGCTTATGCAAATGCAGGAATAAGGGAGAAAAACGGGGGCGGGGGAAGAGATCAAAGGAGCATCAAGAGCTCTGGAACAAGGGGCAAGCTCTTAATTTCACATTATTTCACAACAGTTTCTTGGGCAATTGGGACCTAAATCTAAGGCAGGTGTAGGCTGTAGACTTAATTCATCCTGGCCCAAAATCTAACTACATGATCATTAGCATTAGGAAACAGGCTTGCAGTCTATCCTTGCCTTTCCCATTACCAGCCAACCACATGTCATTAGGCAAGCTCTGTAACCTCTTGCCTTCACAACTTCGTGGAAAGATGAAAGCACTTTAAAAACTTTAAAACATACAAACTTAAGATTTTAGCACAGGAAAAACAAAATACAACTAGGACCATGAGGAGCTCCTGAAAGCAGAATCTGAGAGCTGTAGCAAATACACTGATGATGAGGTGATGGGGAGTATAGGTGGACAGCAGGGGGCTGCTGTTGCCACCCCCACCCACCCGTTTATAACCCAGGGTTTGTTCCCCTGGAGAACCCTTAACTGTACCTATGCTGAAATGGGCTCCAGCAGGCTAGGCAGGCAGGCTGCCTGGGTACATATGGCTATACCACAAGAGAACCAAATGAAACTCACTACTTCTGAAAGGTTACTGCCACCTTTTAAGAGAGACCCTTGGGCTTCTGAAGCTAGCCCTGAACTGAAAAACTCCCTAATTAGCCCTAGTTAGGTCAAACCTTTACAGAGCTGAGAACTGGTTCAGTCTTGCAGAAGTTAGGGTCAATTTCAGAGCAATGGAAGGGGGACTGGCTTCTCTTGCCATTGGCCACAAATGCAGAGAGCCAGAGCCACTCTGGCACCCCCAAGGTAGCCAGGAATGGGGGCGCCTGGGTGGCTTAGTCGGTTAAGCAGCTGCCTTCGGCTCAGGTCATGATCCCAGGGTCCTGGGATTGAGCCCCACAGGGAGCCTGCTTCTCCCTCTCCCTCTGCCTGCCTCTCTGCCTACTTGTTCTATCTCTGTCAAATAAATAAATAAGATCTTTAAAAAAAAAAAAAAAGCCAGGAATGGAAAATGCAGACATTGAACCTGAAACAAGAAGCCATTTCCTTGGGAGCACTGTGATGTGGGCCATACTTGGTGACTCTGGGCCCACATCCTCCGGCCTAGCAGCTGCTGTTTACTTCACAAAGTAACCAGCTCCTGTTTTTCACTACCAGAGACTGAGGCTTAGAAAGAGAGAAATGTTCCATCTGAGAAAGTAAAGAGATAATGGGTAGTTTTAGGGGGCAGAGGACCCTTCCTCCCAATGAATGTAAGAGAATTTCCACCCTGACCCAACAAGATCTTCTCAGAGACCACTCTGCACTCGAAGTGTGTAAAGACAGGGTAATTGTCAGCCTACTGTGGACCAAGCTCATTCTAAGGTGAAAAGAAAGAGAGCTAGCCAGGGGCTATTCCCTTTTCCATCAGAGACCACTTAAGGAAGAGCAGATAGGGTTTTCACATCCCCTAAAATCAGGACAGCTAGAAGTGGGAGGCTGAAGAGACCAGCAGCAGCAATCCAAAAGATGACCTCATGAGCTCAAGGAGCTGCCTGCTGGGTTGTTAGAAGGACATGCAGCTCCAGAATCAGTATTTGATGAGGCCCAGTAAAGCAAAACAGTCTTCTCCCCATTCCTGCCTCTCAAGGCACTCAGCCCAAGAGGGAGACTTGACCTCCCTGAACTGTGCGCCCAGCTCTGAATCAGGGACAGTCCGTGATTCAAGATGGTCTTTCAACTGGGGCTAAAACCAGGCCCAGGACATCAAAAGCCAGAAAGGCAGAATCTTTAACAAATCTTGCCAAAACCCTAAATAAAAAGAAAAAACACAAAAAAACAAAAACCTTCCAACCACAGCCACTCTGATGTCTGCTGCTTCTTTTATCCTATTCCTGATACATTAAAACAGTGTAGTGGCCACTGCTGCTGACCACATGGGCTGTGCAGAGGGGCTTCCTTGCAAAATTTTAGTTAACAACCTAAAACAGAATGGGTGTGCCTCCACCAGACAGCAAAGTGTGCACTGGGACCCAGAAAGCCTACTCATATTCGTTTTGCCTTTCCAGGCCTGGAGTCCCTACGGGACAGTGCCCATTCCACCCCAGTGCGTTCTTCCTCCCATGGGGACACCTTCCTGCCTCACGTGAGAAGCAGCCGGGCAGACAGCAACGAGCGAGTCGCTGTGATTGCAGATGAAGCCTACAGCCCTGCAGACAGTGTGTTGCCCACCCCTGTGGCCGAGCACAGCCTGGAGCTGATGCTACTTTCCCGGCAGATCAATGGGGCTACCTGCAGCATCGAAGAGGAGAAGGAGTCTGAGGCCAGCACTCCAACTGCTGCAGAGGTGGAGGCTCTTGGGGGAGAGCTGAGGGCCCTGTGTCAGGGGCACGGCAGGCCAGAGGAGGAACAGGTGAATAAGTTTGTTTTAAGTGTCCTCCGTTTGCTCCTTGTGACCATGGGACTCCTCTTTGTTTTGCTCCTCCTCCTGATCATCCTTACCGAGTCTGACCTTGACATTGCCTTTTTCCGCGATATCCGCCAGACCCCCGAGTTTGAACAATTCCACTATCAATACTTTTGTCCCCTCAGGCGATGGTTTGCCTGCAAAATCCGCTCAGTGGTGAGCCTGCTCATTGACACCTGAGAAGGCATGACTCCTCCCAATAACTAGCCAGGTGGACCAAGGAGCCTGGCTACCCATTCCCAGCAATGGGACCCATCGCGGAACCATCGGCACATGTACCAAGTCCTCCTCTCATGACTCAAAGTCCACAGCCTAGGAGGGTCATTTCCCAGAAGGAAAAAAGGACAGGCTCATGCCCTGTCTAAACAAACTGGGAAAACTCATTTCCTTCAGAGGTTCTTTCAAGAAAGGCTCAGCGACTCTGTTTCTCATCCTCCCAATTTGCAGGATAATTTTTGGTTTTGAATTTTGATTTTTCATAGATGTGTATTATTTTCAAAGTATCAAATAAAAATTTATTTTACTATTACTGATTATCGCAGTAGTGTCACCTAGCAGATGGGACACTAGCTGAAGACTGGAGAGCTGTTGTCTTCTGTATTCTGCAGGAGCTTTCCTACTGGGCTCCAGGAGACTCAGCAGCACAGCCTCAGCAGGGCAAGCCAGGGGTCTGGACAATGGGAACTATCTAGGTTTTCTTGCCAGACAGAGATTTTTAAAAAGTAAACATCCATGTAGAATGATTAAATGGAAAGTTGCTTCTTATGATGGTCTGAGTTGGATTTTCTTTTCCTTTTGTTTTTTTCAAATCTGAGCAGAGTGGGCATCTGAAGGGACCACCGCTACAGCAGCAGCAGGAGCAGGGGTAGGGTAAGTCTGTCCCCTTAGACTAGATCCTAGTGGGCATCACCATGAGTTTTGTATAATGAACTTATTAGACTTCTGTGATTTTTTTTTTCCTGAAGATTCTCCAGATTTTTATAGTGCTTCAGAGACATTAGTTGAATTCAGTGGTGCCAGAGACAGGACTGTCAGAAATGTTGGACAAAGTGTAGTTAACAGAAGCCAGAGCCAAGGTACCTGAGAAACTGTTGAGATTTGGAGAGCAGTACCTATTTTGTACAACCCCCCACAAAAAAACTATTTCAATTTATATTTTAACAACAAATGTTATTTTCTTATCAATTCATATTTTGTTTTTACTTTATGGATTAAGAAAATAGAGCCTGATGAACTAAACGATGCAAGAAAGAAACTGATCCTGAGAATGAAAAGCTTCAGAAAATAGAATTCCAAGATCAACAAACAGCCTTGGAAGGGACCAGGAAAAGAATCTAAATAGGCATACTAAAAGATGCCTACGAAAGAAAGAAGGTGAATGTGGCAGAGACCAACACTTAGCTGTGGAAATACTGCCCCCTAGGGTCATCCTCTGCATCAGGAAAAGAAAAATTGTAGGAAAGCATTTGCCATGCTTGCTGAGGGAAGCTGTGGAAGTATGCAAAAGCACAGCATGTGAAGGGTGAGTGTGGGGTCCAAGGCCCAAGCTCTGCAACTCTTAACAACCACTCATAAGATCTTGTTTTCATCTCAGGGAGAGATTGCTAAGTCATCTGGGGCCTGAGGACTCATTTAAGGATGGTCAGTAAACATATTCCTGGGAACCCCACAACAGTGGAGCCGCTGCTAACATCCTATGATGTTGGGCAGCCCCAAATGCAGAACAAAATGAGTCACTTGTAGATTTGCTCTCCCCTAGTTTGTCCCCTGAAATAGCAGAATCATGTCCATATACAGAGTATAACGGCTGTTGAATTAACAGGGGGTGCGGGGTGGGGGAGTGGATTGTGTAATTTTAAATGCCCTTTCATCTAGACCAGGGGTTGGCAAACTTCTTCTGTAAAGTGCCAGATAAAAATATTTTTTATTTTGGTTTTGTGGGCCATACTCCATGGCAACTACTCAACTCTGCAGTGATAGCACAAAAACAGCCATCCATAGGTAATACATAAACAAAGGAGCATGGCTGTGTTCCAATAAAAGTTTATTTTAGGAGCTGAATTTGGACCACAGGCCATAATTTGCCAACCCCATCTAGACAATAAAACTGCTCCTTACCAGTAGTATGTTAGCAGAAAGAGGGCCGGCTCTGCTCCCATTCCCTACTTGCTACAGATCCAGGACCATTTCCCAGTGGAGACACTGGGGTTGCTTGTATAAAGGGTGCTTGAACAAACAACCAGCAAAGAGGTAGCTAATGCCAAGATGAGCAAGATTAAGTGTTGAAATGCTAAAACTCAGCCAGAATCTAAGAATGGAAGAGGAATGTCTGATCATTTCCATACCAGCAACAATTTGGGCAGAATTACAAACATCTATTTACAAAGTGACAAGACAAACTGAGGGAGATCCTAGTAAAAATTAGGGATCACTTAGAACCAACTAGCCACTGCCACTTGTCATCTACACAGGAAAGGCTTTACTTACCACAGGACAGAAGTGAAAAGTAGACTCAGATGAAAAGGCTGTCAGGAGATAGATAGGGGGCTGGTTGTAACCTGGATATCTACTGTCTTATGCAACATAGCAGATTATCTTTTAGTGTAGTGTTCCTACCTCAGTCTGTAGAATATGGTGTTTCTATGCAGTGAGTGATAGCCTTGACACTGACCTTTCATAGTCACATTAAAGAAAGATGCAGTATTCCATTTCCTGGTATGTTACTTGTGTCTAGAGTTCTAACAATACAATAGTCCATACCACTTCCAAGAGCTGGATTTTGCTCTCTGAACAGAACTTTTGGGTTATTTTTTTCCAGGGCTTACCCCAGAAAATACAGGTAGTAAAGTTTCCTTCTATTTGCTTTTCAAATAGTGCTTGAATAACAAAACTCCTTTGTTGGTGACTAGTCTTTTTTTGGTATCTCCCCATCATTAAACATTGTTCAAATTTTTAACCTGGTTTTACTGTGTTCCACTATGTCTCCCATTTTCTCTCAGAATTAGTTTGATCTCATTGTAGAAAAAAAAAAAAATGGTTTCCATAGCTTCATCCATCAGAGGAAATAAAACTCTTACTAAAGGATAGTGTACTGCATCTTTAAGCAGTAGAAGGTAAACTACCTGCAAATGTGAATTTCTTAGTTTCATTAAAAGTATAATTGTTAACCTTTCGTGTGCCAAAAATTCTAAGTTACATTTTCCTTCAAAGCAATGTACTTTTTTCTACATATGCAGTATGTAGTTAGCATAAAATCATTGGTGCCATGAAAATTATTTTTAAAATTAAATAAATATTTAAATATCTATCATGGAAGAGTGGACTCTTTCTTTTTTTAACTTACAGCTTGTCTTTTTCCTCCTTAAAGTTACCAACACGTAGATAAAAAGATGGATACCCAGGGGGATTTATACAACTGACTACTTGTTCATGAATGATCATTTGGCTTATATCCATCTATTATCCTTGTCCCTCCCCCCAAATAAATACTATTAAGAACTTGGAAGCTGTAATAATGGAATGATTTTAGAGATGAACTGGACCTCATTTTTCTCATGAGGAAAACCAAAAAGTGATTTTCTGAAGGTTACAGAGTTAGTCTTAGAACCCAAAAGTAGAACCTAGATGGTCCAGGGTTCCTGGCTGGCTCGGTAGGTAAAGCCTAAGACTACTGATCTCAGGGTTGTGAGTCTGAGCCCTACATTGCGTAAAGAGATTAGGCACATGAGTCTGTCCTCCCCCCTTCCCATGTACTGTAACTGGCTGAAAAGATTTACATCTTTGGGGCACCTGGGTGGCTCAGTCGTTAAGCGTCTGCCTTCGGCTCAGGTCATGATCCCAGGGTCCTGGGATTGAGCCCCGCATCAGGCTCCCTGCTCTGCGGGAAGCCTGCTTCTCCTTCTCCCACTCCCCCTACTTGTGTTCCCTCTCTCGCTGTGTCTCTGTCAAATAAAATCTTAAAAAAAGATTTAAATATTTGTATTCACAGCCCTCAAGCTCCCTGTTTTCCTGGAGAACTGCCTTTGCAAAGTCATCTCTGTGGAAAGGAAACTCAAAGACCTGAATACCAAAACAGGACTGAATCAACTCAGATTTTATCAATTCTCGATCATTTGTAGTCTCACCTACCTGTCCACCTATGACAAGAATCATCTCCTTCCTCCTTAAAGTCACATAAGAAAGGCTGGGCATCTCAAAGAAAATGATTCAAATGGAATACAGAGCTTATATACTTAAGGGATATCATAAAGCACAACTTAAAAAAAAAGTTTATCCCAAAAAGAGAGAGCAATTGTAATATACAAATAATTACAGAAGCCACACAGTTTTAACCAAGTCTCTGGGAGAAGTACCTTTCACAACAGATTACAGTTTAAGGATGTCCTAAGGGAGACAACTTTATGTGCTTTCTAGATTTAAACAATTACTCCATTATAGAGCTTTTTACTGAGAAACAAGTCCCCCCCACACTCTCCTTCCTTCCTGCATTGCCTCAGGAAGACACTCTATTAAGTTTAATTAAATATAAATAGCAGTTTATGAAGCTAAAATGGCAAAAGAAACCACAAAAGTGAGAAACATCAAGAATTTGCTAACATTTATTGCAGAAACCAGGCAATAATGACCAAGTATTCAAAGCTTAAAGGATGGTACTAATTTCAATGAGTGTATTTTTCACTATCGTTAAAAAAAAAGAGTTCTCACAGAAGTTGCCACCCTGGAACCTGTGAAATGAAGTGGTATCAAAAAGGGAAAGGAAGCCTAGAGGCTTCATTTACTATCTCCAGGGCAGTTTAATAGAAGTCAACCTCACTTAGCTTTACTTTCCATTTCATAAATTAATGTTCCATTTCACTTACCAATTCCTATACGCCTATCATCAAGAAAATAGAGAACTCTTGTTACTTATAAACACTCACAACCTACTTAATAAACTAGGCCTCAAAATTAGACTTAACCTCTCATTACAGAGAAGGAAACTATACATGTCATTTTATTTCTGTGATATATAATTTGAGAAGATATTTCCTCTTAGAATTCAAACATATTGCCAAAAACAATTTACAACAGTCTTTCAGTAGTAGTTTGGCAATGAAGAGCAATGAAAAAAGTCGGATAGGTGCAATCACATGGTAATGTTAGTCACTGAGTTAAGTAGCTACCCTTCCAACAACAAACACATTCACATTGCCCTAACTTCTGGGGGAAAAAAAAAAGTTTACAACAAAATGCCAAAAGTGGTTTATCATAACATTTCCCCCCAATATGAATTAGGAATGAAGGTATTCACTTAATAGGCTAATGAATCTCCTCTGGAGAGTTTAAAGACAGGGACAGAAAAGGGTGTCTGGGACCTTCTAAGGCAGGAGCTTTCACTTCTTTAACTATGACCCACAGTAGTACCACAGTAATAAAGACATATGTTTTACATCAGAATATACATATGCATATACACTTACATATATGTATGCACATATTACTAAGTTTCATCTTACAAAACAACACTTACTCTATTTACATTTATTATTCTTTACTATTTCTTTCCTTTTCCTTTTTTTAAAGGCTGGTCATGGCTACATTGATTTCATGTGAATAGCTACAAACCACAGTCTGGAAAACACTGGTCTGAAGGCAATCTCACATTGGATAACAAGGGTCAGGCAGATCCAAACCCTGTTCCTAGAAGCCCTACAATTTCTTGGCCATGCTTCAGGAGCCATTTAGAGGAGGTAAAAGGGTCAGCACACAAAGACCCAGGCCCCTGTCCAAGTGAACTAAGGCTCAATAATTATCTTAGGATTTCGCTTTTAATTTAAAGGCAGGAAGGGGGAAAAAAGTTCTCCATTAAAAAAATTAAAAGTTTCAAAATCACTAAGTTAGATGACTTTTCAGGATCCCTTCCAGTGTTGTAAGTCTACAAATATTCACTCCAAACCATGAAATAAACCACAAATCCAAATATCACTACGGAATCAAAACCATATCATTAAACCGAAAAAACTTTTAATACTGATCATTCAAAGCTTTGTAATTTATAATGCCAGAATTTCTCAACATACTGCCTGATTAAAAGCGCTGAAGCCATCACAACCTCCCCTCAAATTCCTTCCCCACCCTAAAGAAACAACTTAAAAGGCTTCTCCCTTACTAAACATGTTAAGTATGTAACTGTATACATTCTGCTCACAGTTGTTATTAAAAAAGCAATTTTATATTCACTAAATAGAACATATTAAAAACAGGCCAAGCCACATGAATTACTAGCCTCCTTAGACACTGATTAATTTGAACAAATTGGTGTTGCTAAACCAAACACTCAGCAGCTTTCTTAATTCATAAAAACATGTATCTTCCCACTGGAATTACCTCCAGCCAAAATATACCGAGTTGGGTGCATAGTGTTGATGGAACACACAGAGACAAGGCATTCTCCACCAAAAAAAGAATGCACCTGCTTTCCTGTCTCATGGAAGATTTCTACCCGTCGTGGATGAGCCATGCTGCCAACTATGACACAATCTTCTTGTTTAGGGTCCCACACAGCCTGGAATCTGGTCAGCCATCGCCCAGTGATAGTGTTGTGCCTAGTGAAAAAAACAATTTTTTTAAAGGCTAGTGTTAAATAACTTAAGGCAGCAATGGGCAGAGGGTAAACATGGCATTGCTCCTAAATGCTGGTTTTCTCTGCCAAGTTTCTTTTCATTAAGTTACTGAGTTACCATCAGCCTAACTTCATCCTTCATATAAAAGTAAAAATCAGGACAGAGATGATATCTTCTGTACTTCTGAATCTCCACTGCCAACTACAGTGGTTGTACTCAGTGGATGGTCACTGTCTATTAAAATAGCACCTTTTTTGTTCACTATTTCTTAGCTCAATGGACTCCATGCCCTCCCTGTTTTTACACATACAAAATAGAAGAAGCCCTAGAAGTAAACAATATACAATCTATGTTATTGCCATTTTAATAGGATCTGTAATCCCATATTTGTATTCCCCTGATAACCAAACCCTGAAATCACTTTATATTCCATACAACTTTAAAGTAAAAAATACATTTGGGGCTCAAAGAAGACATCACAATGGAAATTAGAAAATATATAACAAATGAAAAATGAAACACAACATACCAAAATTTAAGGGATGCTATGAGAGCAATAGTAAGGGGGAGATTTATAGCAGTGAATACTAAAAAAGAAAAGATCTCGGGGTGCCTGTGTGGCCAGGTAAGCGTCCAACTCAATTTCTGCTCAGGTCATGATCTCAGGGTGGTGAGATCAAGTCCCATGTCAGGCTCCACCCTCAGCGGGGAGTCTGCTTCTCTCCTCCCTCTCTCCCCACTCACGCTCACTCACTAAAATAAATAAATCTTTAAAAAGGCGGGGGGCATGGGTGGCTCAGTCAGTTAAGCGTCTGCCTTCAGCTCAGGTCATGATCCCAGGGTCCTGGGATGGAGCCCCACATCGGGATCTGCTCAGCAGGGAGCCTGCTTCTCCCTTTCACTCTGCCTGTGTGCTCGCCCTCTCTCTCTCTATCAGATAAATAAAATCTTTTTAAAAATTTAAAAATTTAAAAATAAAAAGATCCCAAAATCAACACACTACACCTCAAGGAACTAGAAAAAGAACAACCTAAACTAAAAGTTAGCAGAAGGAAGGAAATGAAGATTAGAACACAGCTAAATGAAAGGAGAATAGAAAAACAATAGAAAAACACAATACTGGTTTTTTGAGAAGATCAACAAAATTGATAAGCCCTCACCCAGATTGAAAAAAAAAAAGAAAAGAAAATGCAAGTAACTGAAATGAGAAATGAGAGAGGATATTACAACTTACAAAAATAAAAAAGGATTATAAGAGAATAGTATAAACAATTATATGCCAACAGATTGGTTAACCCAGAAGAAATGGATAGAATTCTCAAAAACATACAACTTACCAAGACTGAATCATGAGGAAATAGAAAATCTAAATAGTCCTATAACTAAGGAGATTAAAACAGCAATCAAAAACTTCCCAACAAAGAAAAAGCCCAGGATCAGACCAGGATCAGACATCTTCACTGGAGAATTCTACTCAACATTGAAAGCATTAACCAGGGGCACCTGGGTGGCTCAGTTAAGCATCCAACTCTTGATTTTGGCTCAGGTCATGATCTCAGGACTGTGAGACTGAGCCCCACATCAGGTTCCACTCTGGGTGTGAAGCCTGTTTAAGATTCTGTCTCGCCCTCTCCCCCTCCCCCGATCCCCTCTCTCTCCCTAAATAAATAAATAATGCCAATGCTCATCAAATTCTTCCAAACAACTGAGGATAAGGGAACACTTCCAAACTTATTTGAGGCCAGCACTACTCTGATACCAAAGCCAGACAAGGACCCTACAAGGAAATAAAATGACAGACTAACATCCCTAATGAATACTGACACTGACAAAATACTAACAAAATGAGGCTCCCTGCTCAGCAGGAAGCCTGCTTCTCCCTCTCCTACTCCCTCTGCTTGTGTTCCCTCTCTCGCTCTCTGTCAAAAAAATAAAATCTTAAAAAATAAATAAATAGGGGCACCTGGGTGGCTCAGCCGTTAAGAGTCTGCCTTTGGCTCAGGTCATGATGCCAGGGTTGATTGATCCCAGGGTCCTGGGATAGAGCCCCGCATTGGGCTCCCTGCTCGGCAGGAAGACTGCTTCTCCCTCTCCCACTCCCCCTGCTTGTGTTCCCTCTCTCGCTGTGTCTCTGTCAAATAATAAATAAAATCTTTAATAAATAAATAAATAAAAATACTAATAAAATGAGTTCAATAGTGCATCTAAAGGATTATACACCATGACCAAGTTGGATCTATCCCTAGAATGCAAGGATGATTCAACATACAAAACTCAATTGACATAATATACCACATTAACAGAATAAAGGACAAAAACAATATGATCATCTCAATTGATGCAGAAAAATCATTTGACAAAATCAATACCCTTTCATGATAAAAACATTCAATGAACTAGGAACAGAAGGAAACTATCTCAACATAATAAAGGCTATATATGAAAAGCCCACAGCTAACATCATACTCAGTGGTTAAAGACAGAAAGCTTTTCCTCAAAGATCAGGGAAAAGGCAAGTATGCCCACTCCTGCCACTTCTATCCAACATACTATTGGAAATCTGGAAGGACAAGAGACACTAATCTAAATTCCAGGTGTTGACAACTGCACAGGTAGCCAGATCCTGCATGTGAGGCATTGCCATTACACCAACAAGGATTTGATAAGGGGGACATTCTGAGCAGTCACTTGATAACCAATTAGACAAGAAAAAGAAATAACAGGACTATAACAAACTCAAAAACTGTGCACCAAAGGAAACAATCAACAGAGTGAAAGACAATCCACAAAACAGCAGAAAATACCTGCAAATCATATATTCAGTAAGGGGTTAATATGCATAATATGTAAGGAACTCCTACAACTCAAAACAAAAATGACCCAATTCAAAAGTGGGCAAGACTTGAATAGACAGTTCTACAAAGAAGATATATAAATAACCAAAAAAAATGTACATCACTAATCATTACAGAAATGCAAATCAAAACCACAATGAGATATTACCTCACAACCATTTAGATAGTCACTAATAAAAGAGCAGAATGATGAACATAAAGAGAAATTAGAACCCTGATGCACTGCTGGTAGGAATGTAAAACGGTGCAGCCCCTACAGAAAAGCAATATGGAGGTTCTTCAAAAAATTAAAAAATTCCTCTTCCTTGGTAATATCCAAAAGAATTCAAAGCAGGATCTTGAAGAGATATTTGCACACCCATGTTCACTGCAGCATTATTTACAATAGCCAAGAGGTAGAAACAACCCAGATGTCCATCGACAGATGAATGGATAAAGAAAATGTGGTATATACATACAATGAATATTATGCAGCCTTAAAAAAGGAGGAGGTCACATGCTAGAACATAAGTGAACACTGAGGACACAATGTCAAGTGAAATAAGCTAGTCACAGAATGACAAATACCATGATTCCATTCACATGAAGGATCTAAAGTAGTTAAAATCACAGAAATGTAAAGTAGATGTTTGCCAACGTCTGGAAGGGAGGGAGAAGAAAGAATCAATGCTTACTGGGCATAAAGTTTGAAAAAAGAAATGAAGATGGGAAAATTTGTAAGAAAGGAAACAAACACACTTAAATGTAGCCTCCATAGACTATAAAATGCATGATGTAACAACATATATTGCACACTCTGGTCCCAACTTCATAAATACTGATAAAGAGGGATGTCTAGAAGAAGGCACTGACTAAAGTTGGTTGTAAAATACATACATTAAAAGTAGCAGATTCAAAAGAGGGTAACCAGAGAAAGTAAGTGGGAAGGCAGGGAAACCCTTTAAGCCCACAACAAACAGGTACAAACAAAAGAGCTATAGATGGCCTCACAGCAGGTAAGAGGTTACAATCTTCTTTAATAAGATAACATGAGTAATTCAAGTTGGAATATAGTCATTCACCTTAACCAAAAATAATCACCCAGCTGCAAGGAACAGCTACCAACTAAAAGGGATTGAACCCTTTAAAAGATACAGGGAAGAGCGCCTGGGTGGCTCAGTTGGTTAAGCGACTGCCTTCGGCTCAGGTCATGATCCTGGAGTCCCGGGATCGAGTCCCACATCGGGCTTCCTGCTCGGCGGGGAGTCTGCTTCTCCCTCTGACCCTCTTCCCTCTCGTGCTATCTCTCATTCTCTCTCTCTCAAATAAATAAAATCTTTAAAAAAATAAATAAATAAATAAAAGATACAGGGAACCTGGAAGCAAGAACCCTTCTGGACAGGATAGGAACTAGCAACCTGAGACATTTAAACAATGTAATACAAAAATTCAAACCTTTTACATCTCTTTGACAATCAGATGTCTAATGTGTGCACTCCAACATATAGCTAATAGCAATCCAGGGTCTACATTATTCAGCATATGGAAACCTACCTGATGGTAGTGAGCAGAGGAATCTCAGAGGATATACAGCTGCTGTCAAAGATTCTGCAAAACAAAGATCAAGAACAAAGTAACACCCTTTTTACTGTTTCTTAAAATTTTTCTGAAAGAAAATCAGTGTATTTAACAAGTTTTTCATTGGTTCATGACATGAAATATGATTGCTACTTTAAAAATATATAGAATCAGGATTTAACAAGCTTCAGCTAATATATTTAACAAAAATTACAAGAAATATCATAAAATTCAGTGCTTTATAGTTTGGTGTAGAAATAATTTATTTAAACACTATTATCCCAAATTTAAAATGCACATTATAAAGTGATAATCTGGATTCTATATTGAGATTCACAATAATTATAGATCATATATAAAGGGATGTGGTCTGAAAATGTACAGATAACCTAATAGTTTTTGCACATATCAAGAGCAATTTCCCCATGAGACTTATTAGTTGAGGGACTGAACGGTGTCATTTCCAGATGCTGGCTAGACTATGACTGACCAGTAACCACGGGGAGGAGTTCTTGTGGGGTAGCTCAAAGAGTCCAGAAGCCTCCACCAGGTAAAGAAACTAACCACATCACACCACCTCCCCCTTCTTCTTGCACCTAGCTATTCCAGTGTAGTTTCTTGGCACCTACAGCTTATTGCCTAATGAGATTACTAGAAAGCTAAATCACTAACAGCTAATGTAAACTCTGCAGTGCAAATGAACAGGAATGGTTAAAATAGGTAGCTTCTGAGACAAAGAAAACTGTATGGGGTAGAAAGGGGACAATGTGCTGCCACTGTCTAGTGACTAAATCTCTTAATGCACCCTGCTCATAATGCTCACAGACTTTACTAGAAATTGGGCATAGTTTCTAGTAAACTGTCACAAAGTGAAGACCATGCTCTTCCCAACAGAAGAGTCTAAACAGAAATTAGATGCCATTCTAAACCTTGAAAGTATACATTCAACAGATACTTGCTGAATGAATAATGAATGAACTCCAGAATCACTTACGGTAAAACTCTTATAAAATGACAAATGCTTATAATGCTAAGCAAAATCAGGGATTATAGAAGAGAACAAAATCATTTCCTCTGTGGTTGTATTAACTTCTCTACATTTCTTTTATTGTCATTATTTTCTATTTTTGGTTCAACTGGTTTAGATTACATTTTTAAGGCCATTTTTAGGAAGTAGCTATAGAAAGGTACCAAAGCTAAAACCGTAAAACTGTATCCAGTGGTTTGTACAGAAGCCTAATTATTACTATCTTTCCTGCCTGCCCATGGCGTGGGGCTCTGCAATTTCCACTGAGCACTTCATGTGTAGGGTAGACCCCACTAGCCCCAACCTAAGAGTTTGTCCCTATGTTAAAATCATCTTTCTTCCAACATATCACAAGCCTGGTTTTATTGGGACTTCTGGGATCATTCAGTGCTTAAAGGGAAGCCTGACATCTACCCCCTGGGGTACCTACAGACCTTCCCTGCCAAACTCAAGGAAATTTCCAGACCCCAAAACTGCTGAAAAACCTTTAAATACAGGTTATTGATTTGGCCAGGAACATAGAAATGGCTACAAGACAATAAAACTAGCAATTTAATAGGGAGCAGTAGTAAACAAAGCTACCGGTTTACACTAGCTACAGACTCTTTAGATTCCTTAACAATGCATTTCTGGGTGGCTCAGTGGTTAAGCGTCTGCCTTCGGCTCAGGTCATGATCCCAGAGTCCTGGGATCTAGGCCTGCATCGGGCTCCCTGCTCCATGGGAAGCCTGCTTCTCCCTCTCCCACTCTGCTTGTGTTCCCTCTCTAGCTATCTCTCTGTCAATAAATAAAATCTTAAAAAAAAAAATGCATTTCTATCTCCCCAATTTACCTCAGCTTACAATCAGCACATGTGGTCACTACTCTGTTACCAGTAAGAGGTGAAAAATAGGCAGAAGCGATGCTCTTTGTGTGTTCAGTCAAAGAAATCAAAGGCTGGCTTCTCCTGGGATTCAGGTGTCTTGTATCATAAATATGAATATCCCTGTAAGCGGAGGAATAATTCTCAGTGTTGCCACAGTACATGTAGTGAGCTCTCAAACAGCGCTGAACATAGACACATAGAATACTCATTACATTGAAGAACACTCTGATCTGTAATAATTTTACAAACACTGTGTAGATAAAAAATTAAATATTAGAAAAATTCCATAACTACAGAATATATATGAAGCCAGTGGATAATACTGAGACAAGATTCTAGTTGGTTTTCCAATCTCTCTGAGAAAAAAATAAAAATACGGACCAAGTTATAGGTCACATATAACTTTTTTTTTTTACAAGTTTTTTTTTTTAACTTTTTTTTTAAGATTTATTTATTTATTTATTTGAGAGACAGAGACAGTATAAGCAGGGGGAGAGGCAGAGGGAGAAGCAGACTTCCCACTGAGCTGGGAGCTGGACATGGGGCTCGATCCCAAGACCTGGAGATCATGACCTGAGCCTAAGGCAAACACTTAACCATCTGAGCCACCCTACAAGTTTTCTTCTCAAAAGACTAGAAGTAAATTAATATGGGGGCACCTGGGTGGCTCAGTCGGTTACGCATTTGCCTTTGGCTCAGGTCATGATCTCAGGGTTCTGGGATCAAGCTACGCATTGGGCTTCCTGCTCAGCAGGGAGTCTGCTTCTCCCTCTCCCTCTGCCCCTCCCCTCTGCTCGTGTTCTCTCTCTTTCAAATAAATAAATAAAATCTTAAAAAAAAATAGTAAATGCACATGATGTCAAGGAAAACAAAAATGTGTTTTTGTTTTAATACTTTGACTATTCATTAAATCCAAATGAATCTTTTTTTTTTCAAAAGAATCTCTTTAAAAAAAAAAAATCATACTCAATAAAACCTCAATTGTTGTAGAAAGAAAAATTATTTAGCTATATGGGTATCACAGAAGTCAGATATCTTTGACATCCAAACTACAGCAGTAGTCCCTCAGGGCACCTGGGTGGTTCAGTGGGTTAAACGTCCGACTCTTGGTTTCAGCTCAGGTCATAATCTCAGTGCTGGGATCAAGCCCGGCATTGAGCTCCGCACTCAGCAAAGAGTTGGCTTGAGGATATTCTCTCTCTCTCTCTCTCCCCTCCCCCCGGACACTTGCACTCACTCTCTCTCTAATAAATAAATCTTTAAAAAATAAAAAGAACAGTATTCCTAACTTTAAAAGGCATAAATCACAAAACTTTATGAAGAACATACCTCAATCCTGCAGTGATAAAATACTGTCTATGCACTGGGTGGACATGAACAGTTCTTATTTTGCTCAAAGAAGAATTGATAAGTTTCTCATAAGAAGTTCCAGGTGTCCGTCTATCTACCAGTGATATAGTTCCATTCCAGTGTCCTACTATTAAAGTGGAGGCATCTTCTCCCGAGAAGTCAAAAGAGGAAAAGCTACTTCTTTCATCTCTATATACCTAAGGATACAAATAACAACCAACATATAAATTCTTTGGTAAAAAAGTTACAAAACACTTTACCTAATAATTTCATTTATCCTCCCATCATCCCACAGAAAGCACAGGGCAAAATGATCATCTCGTTTTACGGAGATGGAAACTAAGGCACTGATCAGCTGTGAGACTCACCTACAATCAAATGGCCCATCCACCCATCTCAGGGTTACATGCCAAATCTCTTAAATCCGATAAACCTCAGCTGCAGATCTATTCTGTGACACTTACTAGGAAATGAACTAAATGTGAATTCTACCCAACTGAAATACCTTAATATACCAAGTAATTTTGCCAACTAAGTCCAAAAATATATGGCCAAATGCTCATCACTCACTCACTCTTGGTAGAAGTGTAAATAAATAAATAACAAATTTCTGACAACTAATCAGAGTACACCTATCAAAATATTTAATGCTTGTACCCTCTGACCCAATAATTTATCTAAGATATATATAAAGATGCCTATGGCAAGACAACCTATAATAGCAATAAGAAGCAACCTAAATGTCCACCAAAAGAGACCTGTTTAAATAAATGATGGTACATCTCTACTTTGAAACACCATGCATTGCTAAAAAGAATGAGACAGATTTGTACTACAATCTGTCCATACTACCAAGTGAAAAAAGCAAGTTGCAAAAGTGTATATAGTATAAATCCATTAGTGCAAAGGAAAAAAACTCTACCTCCATAGGCTTGTAAGTATATGTGCACTTTCTGGAAGCATACCTAACCACAATTCTTAACACTGAATCACTAGTTGCTAATTTATAGTTCTTATAAAGTTATATACTATTATAAACTGAGGTTAACAAATTAATATACCGAAGGTATCACAACCCCTGTACATCCAAAAAAGCCCCAAATGAAACCTGAAGTATTCATATTAAAATGGCTAAGTGCATGAGCTTAATTGCAGTGGAGTCAGACAGACCCAAGTGAAAATTTTAGCACTGCCACTTATGTCCCTGAGCAAGCCAATAAACCTCTTTACCTCAGTTTTCTCAACTGTTAAATGGGGATAACATTACTTATTTCATAGGGTGTTATAAGGTTTAACTATATATATAAAGCACTCTCAGATTAATGCCTAACACAAGGTAACTGTTCCTTCAGTATTATCAGGGGCACATTACTTATACATGCAACAACATGGATGAATCTTAGAAGTATTATGCTAGGTGAAAGAAGCCAGACATAAAAAACTTCATACCATATGACTCCATTTATTTGACATCTTGGAGCAGACAAAATTATAGGGACAGTAATATCAGTGGTTGTCAGGAGTATGGGAAGGGGACTGACTACAAAAGGTCACAAGGTGATTTTTTTTCAGGTGATAGAAATTTTCTGTATCTTGATTGTGGTGGCAGTTACATAGGTGTAAACAATTTGCCAAAACTCATAGAACCATACACTTAAAAGGATAAATCTTATTGTATATAACTTACACCTCAATAAACCTGACTTTAAATATGTAAGTGGAGAAATTTTACAACTCAGTACTAAAAAGATAGACAACCCAAATAAAAATTAGGCAAAGAATCCAACATTTAGAGAAATCAACAGTTCTCTAAATAAATACAAAGGGCCAATAAGCAGGTGAAAAGACACTCAGCATCATTAATCATTAGGGAAATAAGGTTCAAACCATAATGGCATATGACTTCATACTCACTATGATGGCTACAGTCACCAGGAGTAAGTGTTGGCAAAGATGTGGAAAAACTGGAATACTCATATATTGTTGATGAGTATGTAAATAGTGAAGCCACTTTGGAAAACAGTTTGATAGTTCCTCAAAATATTAAACAGAATTACCATATGACCAAGGAACTCCACTCCTAGGTATATACCCAAGAGAAATGAAAGCGTATGTTCACACAAAACTTGTACATCAAAAACAAAAAAACTTGTACATCAATATCCATAACATTATTTTCAATAGTAAAAAATGGAAACAACACAAATGTTCATCAACTAATAAATGGATGAGTAAAATGTGGTATATCCATTCAGTGAAATATTATTCAGCCATAAAAAGGAATGAAGTAACGACACATTCTACAACATGGATGAACTTTGAAAACATTGTTATGTAAAAGAATGCAGTCACAAAACACTACAAATTGTGAGATTCCATTTATATGAAATGTCCAGAAAGGTATATACTGCCTGGGTGGTGCAGTTGGTTGAGAGGCTGACTCTTGATTTTAGCTCAGGTCACAATCTCGGGTTCCTGGGATCGAGTCCTGAGTTAGGCTCCATGCTCAGCACAGAGTCTATTTCAGGATTTTCTCTCTCTCCTTTTGCCTCTGTCCCTCCCCTTGCTCATTCATGCGCTCCCTCTCAAATAAATCTTTTTTTTTTTAATTTGAGAGAGAGAGAGAGAAAGATTGAGAGAATGAGTGGGAGGAGGGACAGAGGGAGAAGCAGATTCCCAGCGGAGCAGGGAGCCCGATGTGGGACTCAATCCCAGGACCCCAGGATCACAACCTGAGCTGAAGGCAGATGCTTAATCGACTGAGCCACCCAGGTGCCACCAAACAAATAAAGCTTTTAAAAAAAAAAGACAGACAAACACACACCCAACATCACCCTCAATGGTGAAAAATTGAGTTTTTTATCTAACATCAGGAACAAAGCAAAGATGTGTACTCTAACCCGTTTTATTCAACATAGTACTGGAAGTCCTAGCACAATAGACAAAAAGAAATAAAAGGCATCCAAACTGATAAGGAAAACATAAAACTGTCACTGTTTGCAGATGTCAGGATACTATACATAGAAAACCCTAAAGACTCCACCAAAAAGCTCTCTCTCATTCTCTTTCCCAAATAAATAAATAAATAAAATCTTTGAAAAAATAAAACCATACAACTCCTAAAAGAAAACATAGACAGTAATCTCTTTGACACCAGACTTAGCAACATTTTTCTAGGTATGTCTCCGAAGGTAAGGGAAACAAAAGCAAAAATAAAAGAGATTACTGTCTAATTTTGCTAAGTGAAATTAAGTCAGAGAAAGACAAATAGCATGATTTCACTTATATGCAATCTAAAAAACAAATGAACAAAACAAAAAAAGCAGAAACAGACCATAAATTGAGAGAACTGGTGATTGCCAGAGGGATTCGGAGGGGTGTGGGGAGAATAGGCAAAATGAGTGAAGAGGAATGGCAGATACAGGCTTCTAGTAATGGAATACAGGAATAAAAAAGGATAAAATGTACAGCATAGGGAATACAGTCAATGGTACTGTGATAGTGTTGTATGGTGAGAGATGGTAGCTACACTTGTGGTGAGCACAGCATAATGTATAGAGTTGGTGAATCACTATGTAGTACACCTGAAACTAATGTAACATTGTGTGTCAACTATAATAAAAAAAATAGTAATACAAAATAAAAGCTTTTACATAAATTAAAAAATAATAAGAGCAAATACTTATGTGTCTGGCTGCATTCTGACCACTTAATTAATCTGCCTCAAGTCATTCAATCCTCATGACAACCCCATGAGGTAGGTACTATTACCATCCCATTTCACAACTAAGGAAATTGATGCACAAAGAGGTTAAATCACTTCCAAGGTCACACAAGTAGTAACAGATGGTCTGGGATTGAAACTTAAGTAGTGTACTTCTAAAGTTCCTATTCTATATCACTTCCCCCCCTCGATTGGTATAATAATCATTCATGTGGCATTTCATAAAGAATCCAGAATATCATCTCAAGTCAATATGTAAACACATTAACATTTACCTCTTCAAAAATAGCCCTCGAAAAATCCCCACAGCGTAACGTGCCATCATAGCTCAGTGACAGTATATGAGCCGGATTTGCAGGTGAGAAGTAAAGACAGCTAACTGGCTGACTGTGGGGTTGGAAAACATAAACTCCATCTTCTTTAGGTTGGTGAGTCTGTAAGAGAGTTGGGGGCAGGGAGAGACAAAAACTAGTGAAAAGTAGTAACACTTTCTGTCATTAAACTACTTATGTCTGTATTACATTCAGTCTTTTCTTAGTCTATAATTATGCCCACCTCATTCAGAAGGTCAGAACTAAAAACTTTCTATTATCACTAAATTACTTTTTTCTAATTTTCAATCCAATAATACTGTCACATTTAACAGTTTCCAGCAACTAGCAAACTAGTTTTCTCATAATGCAGAAGGAAGAAAATTAGTTTATTATGACTTTAGTTCATGAAATCCTCAGGAAATGAGAAATCTGCTCTTTATTTCACATACAGCATAATTCCCTAATACTAAAAACATATCAATACCATTACTATTTTGCTTCCTCAGCATGCTTCTATAAATCAGTCTAAGCACAATTTTCATAAAGTATTTGGTTCTGACACAAAGTGATAATTTAAAAAATATTTTATCCCTGGGGCTTCTGATGACCCTTGATTTCAACTCCGGTCTTGATCTCAGGGTCATGAGTTCAAGCCCCATGTTCTATCCCCTAAATATTTCATGAAAAATGCATGTATTGCATTCCACATTAATATTACTACTACTTCTAGGGATTATCCTTTCCACAACTGGATTACCAATTCCTAAATCATCACTTCTCAGATCTGGATAAGCTATAGTCCTATGCCATGTCATATTATGAATCAGAACTATCATCTCCAAATCTGGCTTAATCTGCTAATACTCAAGCATTTTTGTTTTCTTTTTTCACTGTACTGAAAACAGTTACTTTTTTTTTTAAAGTGATGATAGGCTGATAGTTTCTTCAATAACAAGAAAGGTATACTCTATGGTAATATAATTCTTTGAAAGCAAAATTATAAAACAGTAAGAAAGCTAACACATTATTAATTTTATATTAAATACTATCCACCTTATGCCTACGTAAGGAAAGGCTATCCACTTCCATAAAAGTCTTGCACACGATGTTCTACACAATGACTACTTAGGCGATGAGGATGATAATGACACAAAAATGTCTCATATACTTCTTGCTGTACAGTTGTACAGTTACTAGATTTTCACATGAAGACAGACACATATACAACAGATAAATTTATTTTTTTAAAGATTTTACTGGGCGCCTGGGTGGCTCAGTTGGTTAAGTGACTGCCTTCGGCTCAGGTCATGATCCTGGAGTCTCGGGATCGAGTCCCACATCGGGCTCCCTGCTCAGCAGGGAGTCTGCTTCTCCCTCTGACCTTCTTCCCTCTCGTGCTCTCTATCTCTCTCATTCTCTCTCTCTCAAATAAATAAATCTTTAAAAAAAATAAAGATTTTATTTATTTGAGAGAGACCACGAGCAGGGAGAGGGGCAGAGAGAGAAGTAGGCTCCCTGCTGAGCAAGGAGCCCAATATGGGACTTGACCCCAGGACCTTGGGATCATGACCTGAGCCAAAGGCAGACGCTTAACTGACTTGAGCCACCCAGGCATCCCACAACAGATAAATTTATTAACTGTACAGCAGGATGACTATTTACTAAGTGGAATGGATCATCATAAAGGTCTTCATCCTCACTGTCTTTACGCTGAGTAGGCTGAGGATGCGGAAGAGCTGGGTCTTGCTGTCTCAGGGGTGACAGCAACAGAAGAGGTGGAGAAGGTAGACGGAGAGGCAGGAGGCAGGCACACTGAGTGTAACTTTATGGAGTACATCATAATTTCTGACTTTTTTGTTTTCTCCTATCTCTAAAAATATTTCTATACATATAGTACCAATTCTTCTTCCATCATTTGCTTTAGTTACAGTGCCCATACCATAGAAGGGTCCATGTTGTAAAAGTCAAAAGCAGCCTTGAATAATCAAAACGCTTCTGCCAGATTGACTAATGTCAATTTGTTTTCTAACACTGCTTCATCATGTGGCACTGGTTCAGAAGCACTCATCTCCAACAAGCATTCTTCTCTTAATTCCTCTCTCTGGTGGGGAGTCTTTTGGCTCTTGAATTCCTCCAAGATCCATATCCTGAAACCCTTCACTCCCACCATTTTTGCCATAATCACAATCTCTTTCATGATTTCCTTGTCTCTGTCATAAATCCTGTGAAGTCATGTACAACATCTGGACACAGTTTTCTCTAGCAGGAATTTATTCTTTCAGGCTTGATTGTTTTCATGGCTTTTTCTATAACAACAATGGTATCTTCAATGGTGTTATCTTTCTAGACTTTCATGTTTTCTCTGCTGGGGTTCTCTTCCATAGCGCTGACAACCTTTTCTAGAGTACCATGTGCTATGAGCCTTAAAGATCCTTAATGATCCCTTGATCTAGAGGTTGAATTAGAGATACCATGTTTGGGGGCAACACTTTCATGCTTTTGGTGTTGAACTCATGGGGTTCTGTGTAGCCAGGGGCATTGTCCAATATCAAAAGAACTTTAAAAGGCAGTCCCTTACTGACAAAGTACTTCCTGACCTCAGGGAAAAAGCATTAATGAATCCAACCCAGAAAAGTGCTGTTTCCAGGACTTCCTGTTGTACAGCCAAGACTGGCAGCTCATGTTTATCTTTTCCCTCCGAGGTCGGGAATTAGCAGCTTTATAGATGAGGGCAGTCCTGATCACAAACCCAACTGTATTTGCACAGAAGAGTAGAGTTAGCCTATTCCTCCCCGCCTTCAATCCTGGTGCTCACTTCTCTTCCTTACTAATAAATGTCCTTTGTGGCACTTTTTTTTTCCAGAATGCACTTTCCTCTGAATTAGAAACCTGTTCAGGCAGATACCCTTTCTCAGTAACTTTCTTAATGGTGTCTGGGAACTTGTCTGCAGTCTTGGGTCAGCAGATGCTGCTTCTCCTGTTATCCTGACATTTTTTTAAGACAAACTTCTTTCTAAAATTATCAAACCATCCTGTGCTGGCATTAAATTCTCCAGCTTTAGATCTTTCACCTTCCATTTGTTTTGTCATATGATGACTTCAATTTTTCTCAAATCACATTAGTCTACAGGTATGTCTTTCTTAGAGCAATCCTATACCCACATAAAAGTGGCATCTTCAATACAAGATAAAAAGGTATTTTGCAAAAAGTACAAGGCTTGGGAGCCTGGGTGGCTCAGTCGTTAAGCGTCTGCCTTCGGCTCAGGTCATGATCCCAGGGTCCTGGGATCGAGTCCCACATCGGGCTCCCTGCTCAGCAGGAAGCCTGCTTCTCCCTCTCCCACTCCCCCTGCTTGTGTTCCTGCTCTCGCTGTCTCTGTCAAATAAATAAATAAAATCTTTAAAAAAAAAAAAAGTACAAGGCTTTCCACACCTGCTGGAGTAGCTGCAGCAAGGGCTTTACAAATTTTTTCTTTTTTTTACAATGGTCCTTATGCTAGATTCATTTATCTTGAAATGCTGGGTAACTGCTGCTACCGACCTCAATTTACAGTACTTATCAAGAAATTCAACTCTTTCCTGTACTGTCCTGAATTTTGTTTCTTGGATGCACTTTCCAGAATCACTAGGAGTACTTCATATCAGTCCTATGGTGTTATTCAACATGTATAGTATTGCACTAAGCACAATGAAAAATATGCAAGAACCTCGAGAGATCACTTTTTCAGCGATACACAATTTATGGGAGATAAACTGTGCACACGGAGATGATTGGTGTTTCAAGGAGATACTTGCTATAATTAAGCTCACCACAATAGCAACAGAATAGCTAGGAGATTTTTAGAGTAGTACAATAGTACAACAATAATTTTATGCAGTTATGATTTAATACTGCATTTTTACATTTATTTACATTTCTCTTGACTGTGAATGGTGCCACATAGGATCTGTGTTTGTTGAAGATTTGAAAAATGTTAACTTTTTATAAGATAGATTTGTATATATTTTATGGTAGTAAATGAAAAAATAGACTAGTATCTACATGTATTTTATGCAATCATGACACACCCAACTTTTTAAATTTTTTCAGCATTTCTAAGCTACATGGTTCATCTACAAGTTTTTTCAAATTGTCACAAATCTCCAAAAAACTTTCCAATCTGTGTATAAGTGGACCCACACAGTTCAAACCATGTTAAGGGTCAACTGTATTTGTAACTATATCAAGCGATATCCCCTAAAAAGGAAAAAGTATAAAACAAAAGGAGTGGTAGTCATTATGCTTTATTTTTTTAACTATGTCTAAATTTTAGACATTTTCTGTTGAGAGCATTATTTTCATCCCTTCACCCATCTCCCCTTTCTCCATCTCTATATTTTGTTATATTATTATTTTTATTTTGTCCAGGTTGATAACATTCACATCCAGTTCCATAAATGTAGTTCATATAGCTATTTAATATTAGTTCTGCATTTGAATGGATTCAATGCCCATCACCAATTCTTTTGTCAAGCTTTCCATTCCTCAATTCTTAATTCTGATTTACTCTTAATTGGCTGGGATTTGCTCTCAAGCAGTATTTTTTTTTTCCTAGATGAACTCATAGGTCTTGAATTTCTTGAGTTTTTTTCACATGTGAGAATACCTACCATCTGCCTTTAATAAGAAATGTATCTTGGGCTGCTAAGTATTCTGGGCCATACTTCCCTCAGAACTTTGTAGACATTACATGAAATGCTGTTGTAGAAAACAGAAAAGCCTGACTCTTTCCCTTGAATATAATTTGTTTTTTCTGCCTAAAGAATTCTTTATCCTTTAAGTTTCAAGTTTTCCTAGAACATGGTATACACATTCAATCTGTCAATTCCATTGTGTCTTTTCAGAAGAATTCTCTTTGAATATATTTTCTGTTCCACTGTTGGGTCATCTTTGACTGTCTTCCCTTACCTATTAGCTTGTCTGTGTTTGAGATTACCTCAAATCTTTAATGTCTGTAATTTAGTTTTCAGTAATGTCTATTCTGTTCCTTGCTTTTGTCTAATTTATTAGTTTCTATCTGATCTTCAATTTGTTTCCTTAGTTCTGCAATCCCCTTTTCCATCTCATTCTCTTGTTTTAT